CAAAGTCACCCCGTGTTTAACTCCACAGAGCAGAACAAGCCTAGGCCCTTCTGGAGAAAGCAAGAAAGATTTCAACCCCCAACGCACGCTTGCCCAGGACCAGAACGTCCATCCGGCAAGACCGTGTTTTGCGTCCAGTGAGTGCGGAAAACCGTCCAGGTACAAATCCTCATTTGTTAGGCACCCCCGAGTCCGCACAGGAAAGGGTTTTCACATGTCCGGTGAAAGTGGAAAGTTCTCCCGTGGAAGCTCAACCCTCAGTCAGCATCGAAAAATGCATCCAGGCCCCAGGCAGTCCACGTGCAGCAAATGTGGAAAATCCTTCAGCCACAAGCCCGTCGTTATGTATCCCCGGGTTCGGCACCACGGTGGGGAGAACAGCCACGTGTGCAGTGAGTGTGCGCAATCTTTTAGTCGTGGCTCGGCGTTCGTTCGCTATCGGAGAGTTCACACTGGAGAGAAGCCTTACAAGTGTACCTACTGCGCCAAATCCTTCACCTCTATCGCGGGCCTCGGTTATCATCAGAGCTCTCACACGGGGAAAAGACCTTACGTGTGCGGTGAATGTGGGAAATCTTACATCACGCCTATGGCCCTTCGCTGCCATCACAGCGTTCACACCGGGGAAAGGTCTTACGACTGCAGCGAGTGTGGGAAATCCTTCAATAACAGGTGGAAGCTCGTCCGCCACCAGAGAATTCACACGGGAGAAAAGCCTTATGCGTGCGGCACCTGTGGCAAGGCTTTCACCAACAGCTTCACCCTGCGGTATCACGAGCAAGGCCACCTGGGGAAGAGGCCTTACGAGTGCGGCGAGTGCCGGAAGTCTTTCACCACCAGCTCCGGCCTGCGCTACCATCTCAGCATTCACGCCGGAACGAGGCCGTATAAATGCAGCGAGTGTGGCAAGTCTTTCATCTGTCGCTCGACCTACCATTCCCATCAGAAAACTCACTCGGGAGAAAAGCCCTACGAGTGCAGTGACTGTGGGAAATCTTTCACCCGGCGAAGTAGCCTCCTTTATCACCGGAGAGTTCACACTGGAGAAAGGCCCTTCGCGTGCAGTGAATGCGGGAAATCGTTTACCAGGATCTATGCCCTTCATTGTCATAAGAGAGTTCACACAGGGGAACGGCCTTACGCGTGCAGCGAGTGCGGAAAGTCGTTCCCCACCAGCAGTAGCCTCGGAAAACACCGGAAAGTTCATCCTGGAGAAAGGCCTTACGAGTGCGGCGAAGCTGGGAAATCTTTTGCCGGGAGTGACATCTTCTGTTACCATCAGAGGGTTCACGCGAGAGAGAAGCCTTTCAAATGCAGCCAGTGTGGGAAGTCTTTCTCCTCCGGTGCCTCCCTCCGTTACCATCAGCGAGTTCACACTGGCGAACGGCCTTACGAGTGCAGTGAATGTGGGAAGTCTTTTATATATAGTTCCAAACTCCGCTATCATCAGCGAGTTCACACTGGCGAACGGCCATACGAGTGCAGTGAATGTGGGAAGTCTTTTATATATAGTTCCAAACTCCGCTATCATCAGCGCGTTCACACGAGCGAAAAACCTTACAAGTGTGGCGAATGCGGGAAATCTTTTATCTACAGCTCTACCTTTCGTTACCATCAGAGAGTTCACACTGGTGAGAGGCCTTATAAGTGCAGTGAATGTGGGAAATCTTTTATCTATGGCTCCAAACTTCGTTATCACCAGCGAGTTCACACTGCTGAAAGGCCTTAAGTGTGCTGGGAACGAGCAATTTCCTGTTCGGTGAGACAACACTTGAGAAGGAAACATTTTGGGGAGTCATTTGTCTGAATTGAAACTCTTATATCTGGATACGCACAGTGGGGAGACTCCCCATAAGTTTTATTTATGTTGGAAGTGTAAGTATTTTACTCGTTCTGACTTTCCCAGGCCTTCTTCTCTGCTTATGGTGCTCCTAGATTCTGAGGCTAATTCCTTTCACCTTTCCCACCTGGCAGGTCCAAATACATTGCGATAGTCAACACCCCAATGTGCTTATGTACGCTGACCTCTGGTCTCATGTATATTGTGGCAAAATGGAAATGACCAGGGGGTCAGCTTTCCTATTAGGACTAATTTGGATACGGATAAGCTGCAGTAATGAATTGCAGCTTGCAGAGGAATGACTGCGTGTTCATCAAGGGTGACAATTTGTGATGAGATATTCCACCGTCCAGTGTATGAACTTGGAACTGTCTGCTGCTGATGACGTTAGCTTATACAATAATTCAGAATTTACTCTTTGTACAAATATTTTGTTATTTATTTTAGAGAGAGGGAGAGGAGGAGAGAGAAACGTTGATTGATTGCCTCATGCACTCGCTCCGGCCAGGGATGGAACCAGCAACCTGAACATGTGCCTTGACCAGGAATTGAACCAGCATCCTTTTGGTACATCAGACAATGCTCAACTAGCTGAGCCACACTGGCCAAGACAAGGCCTTACTCTATTTTTTGATATATTTTTTACTGATTTCAGAAAGGAAAGGAGAGGGAGAGGGAGAGAGATGGAAATATCAATGATGAGAGAGAATCATTGATCGGCTGCCTCCTGCACGCCCCCTACTGCGGATCGAGCCCATCACCCAGGCATTTGTTCTAACTGGGAATGGAACCGTGACCAGCTGATTCATAGGTCAATGCTCAAACATTGAGCCATACTGGCTGGGCGAGGTCTTACTCTTTCAATTCTTTTTGTTGTTGTTGTTTTAATCCTCACTTAAGGATATTTTTCCCACTGATATTTAGAGAGAATGGAAAGGAGGAATAGATGGGGAGGGACAGAAAGAGAGAGAGAGAAACACTGATGTGAGTGAGACACATGGCTTGGTTCCCTCTTACATGCACCCCGGCTGGGGCCAGGGATGGGACATGCAACCCAGGTAAGTGCCCTTGACCGGGGATCGAAGCCATGACCCGTGGGTGCACAGGGCAATTCTCTAACCACTGAGCCACACCGTCCAGGGCTTTTAATTCTTTTTCATCTTGCTTATTCTTTTTCATTGTATGGGGTTGTGTATAACCTGATTCAGGCTCTACAAGCATGAAGAGGTGAACAACGTTGTAAGGGGGGGGTCTCAACATTTCTCTGCTTATGGACAGGCTGTGCGATGGCAAAAAATAAGTGGCCAGTTTTGACCAAATTTGAGTCGCTGTCCACAGCCTCCCAGGAAGGACTGAAAGACTTTCTGGTCCTGATTTGGTTGCTCTGTGTTTGAGGGGTCTTGGCGATGACCCTGGGGGAGCAGGTGAGATCCTCAGGTACCTATGAGAGTAGCATGGTGGTTCCTTCACTCAGAGCAGATCTCGTAGATTATATTGGCACTGCAGCGGTTCTCAGCCTGTGGGTCGCGACCCCTTTGGCGGTCCAACGACCCTTTCACAGGGGTCACCAAAGACCATCCTGCATATCAGATATTTACCTGATGATTCATCACAGTAGCAACATGACAGTGATGAAGTAGCAACGAAAATAATGTTATGGTTGGGTCACAACATGAGGAACTGTATTTAAAGGGCCAGAAGGTTGAGAACCACTGGTGGGGGATATATATTTCTTTGGTCTCAAAGTGTCAGGTGCCCTGATTTCCACCATTCGCTGGGCTGTGGTCAGTGGTTGAAAGACGGTCCCGGGAAAATCACAGTGTTTGGTACAGAATCACTGGCCTAATAGGGATTGGAGGAGACTGCGCCCAACTCGATGGACTGTTCCTCTTCAAAACATGCAGCCAGAAATGTGTCTGTGACGGTGACTGCACGATTAGTGTGCACAGAGCTCAGGACCCGCTGGCATGTTCATCCTGGGAAGCTGCCATCACGGTCAGAAAAAATAAAAATGATCAACCAATCGTTTTGTGGATTCCTGTAGCCTCTTAATTATGTCTACCTCAAAGCCGTTACGACACGACGAGAGAAGAAAAGAGAGGCCTGGGGTCCATGATGTGGCTGTTGAGCTGGGCCGCATTCCTGTTGACTCAGGGGGAAATGTTCATTACTTAACATGCTTTGTTATGTAGGGCAGTGGTCGGCAAACTCATTAGTCAACAGAGCCAAATATCAACAGTACAACGATTGAAATTTCTTTTGAGAGCCAAATTTTTTAAACTTAAACTATATAGGTAGGTACATTGTTATTAACTTCATTAGGGTACCCCTAAGGCTTAGGAAGAGCCACACTCAAGGGGCCAAAGAGCTGCATGTGTCTCAGGAGCCGCAGTTTGCTGACCACTGATTTAGGGAATACTGATCCCTATAGAGTCTATATGTATCGAGTATATAGTATAGACCAGGGGTCCTCAAACTTTTTAAACAGGGGGCCAGTTCACTGTCCCTCAGACCATTGGAAGGCCGGACTATAGTTTAAAAAAAAAACTATGGCCCTGACTGTTCTGGCTCAGTGGATGGAGCGTTGGCCTGCGGACTAAAAGGTCCCGGGTTCGATTCCAGTCAAGGGCATATACCTTGGTTGCAGGCACATCCCCAGTAGGGGGTGTGCAGGAAGCAGCTGATGTATCTAACTCTCTTTCCCTCTCCCTTCCTCTCTGTAAAAAATCAATAATATATATATATATTTTAAAAAAAAACTATGAACAAATTCCTATGCACACTGCACATATCTTATTTTGAAGTAAAAAAACAAAACAGGAACAAATACAATATTTGTATTTGCATGTGGCCCGCGGGCTGTAGTTTGAGGACCCTTGGTATAGACCATAAGGAGGAAGGCAGTGGAGTGAATATAGCGTAGTCAAACCTACTTTCCCAAAAGATTGGGACATAAAGTGTTTGTTTGTTTTTTATCTTGAGCCCTTGTTTTTCAATCCTTACTCAAGCATATGTTTAGAAAAAGAAAGGGAGAGAGAGAGAAATATCTATGTGAGAGGGAGACATTGATCGATTGTTTCCCATACACACCCCAGCTGGGGTTAAAACCCGCAACCTAGGGAGGTATGTGACCTGGCCAGGAGTGAGACCCCTATCTTATCTTTTGTTGTACAGGATGGAACCCCAATCAATGAGCCACACCCACCAGGGAAATCTTTAGCCGTTTTTTTACAGTTTGACATCGGTATGAGCCTAAGAAACAATTATCACAGTCCTGGTAATGACCACATCTGCCCTTCATTGCTGGCCACATCCCACTGAGGCCAGGCTGGCCACACGAGGACGGAAGAGCTTTGGGGTCAATATGGAGCTGCCATACTTACTGAGGAGAAGGTCTAAGTTTTTATTTTTAACAATTTTTAGATAGTAAAGTATAAGTGATATGCAATAAAGCATTAAATAGTTTTTTAACTTTAGAACATTTTTATTTTTTAAAATATATTTTTAGCCCTAACCGGTTTGGCTCAGTGGGTAAAGCGTCGGCCCGCGGACTCAAGGGTCCCAGGTTCGATTCTGGTCAAAGGCATATACCTCCGTTGCAGGCACATCCCCAGTGGGGGGTGTGCAGGAGGCAGCTGGTCAATGTTTCTCTCTCATCGATGTTTCTAACTCTATCCCTCTCCCTTCCTCTCTGTAAAAAATCAGTAAACTATATTTTAAAATATATATTTTTTGCCCTGACTGGTTTGGCTCAGTGGATAGAGCGTCGGCCTGGGGACTGAAGGGTCCCGGGTTCGATTCCGGTCAAGGGCATGTACCTTGGTTGCAGGCACATCCCTGGTAGGGGGTGTGTAGGAGGAGGCGGCTGATCGATGTTTCTCTCTCATCGATGTTTCTAACTCTCTGTCCCTCTCCCTTCCTCTCTGTAAAAAATCAATAAAATATATTTTTAAAAAAACACTATATTTTAAAATATGTATATTTTTATTTCAGAGAGGAAGAGAGAGGGAGAGAGAGAAATATCAATAGTGAGAATCATTAATTGGCTGCCTTCTGCACGCCCCCTAGTGGGGGTCAAACCTGTAACCCAGGCATGTGCCTTGCCCAGGGATTGAGCCGTGACCTCCTAGTTCAGGGGTCCTCAAACTTTTTAAACAGGGGGCCAGTTCACTGTCCCTCAGACCGTTGGAGGGCCGGACTATAGTTTAAAAAAAAAACTGAACAAATTCCTATGCACACTGCACATATCTTATTTTGAAGTAAAAAAAGAAAACGGGAACAAATACAATATTTGTATTTGCATCTGGCCCGCGGGCCGTAGTTTGAGGACCCCTGTCTAGTTCATAGGTTGCGGCTCAACCATCGAGCCATGCCAACGGGGCTCAAATGCAAATACTGACCCAGAGAAGCAGAGGGGATATATTCTGAAGTTCCCAGAGGCATGGTCCCCCTCCCTGAACTTGCCTGGAATCTCTCATGTTTTCTCTTATAACCTGTCCAGGATATTCTCCTTATTGCTGACCAAACACGGAACCTGACAACATCCATTCTGATAGCGTAATGCCACATGAAGTGAAGAACAAGAAGACTATGTTGTACTTGCGATTTTTTGTGTGACCATTTAGTGTCATTTTAGCAATAGTTGGTTAAGCATATTTTGTCTCTTGGGAGGATGATTTGCAAGTGGAATCCTTAGGAGAATTTTAGTAACACGTCTCTGATAAAGGGGAGATACAGCGGTGAGTAAAAGAATACAAGTTAAAATATCAAGGCAATGCCTCGCTGGTGTGGCTCAGTGATTGAGCATCAAGCTATGAGCCAGGAGGTCACAGTTCGATTCCCAGTGTGGGCACATGCCTGGGTTGTGGGCTCGATCCACAGTAGGAGGT